TTAACAAGATTCATGGCTAATATTTTAAACCACTAGTGAAACGTTACCAGCATTACGTTAACAAGATTTGTGGTTAACACTTTGAACCACTAGTGACACGTTACCAGCATTACATTAACAAGATTCATGGCTAATATTTTAAACCACTAGTGAAACGTTACCAGCATTACGTTAACAAGATTTGTGGTTAACACTTTGAACCACTAGTGACACGTTACCAGCATTACATTAACAAGATTTGTGGTTAACATTTTAGACCACTAGTGACATGTTACCAGCATTACGTTAACAAGATTTGTGGTTAACTATTTGAACCACTAGTGACACGTTACCAGCATTACGTTAACAAGATTCATGGCTAATATTTTGAACCACTAATACAAAATTACTTGTAACTGTTAGTTAGTATTAGCAATTTTACAAATCTACTAATACATTTCATCTGATGTACTTTAATGTGTAAACTTTTGTTGTTGGCATGTACTGTCCTAACCTGCAGACTGTTAATATGACAAGAAAACAGACCTATTCTTGTTATGACCTTTCTACCAGCTGTAAACAAGATACTTTCTTGTAAGCTTCATCTGATATATCTTCTTAGTCAAGGAAAGAATACAATAAGCCTGAGAGTTTCAAAACTACCCTGGTTATAGAAGTTGTCTGTCTCCCGTATTATTCTTTCTACAATTGTATAGTAACTTTTTGCACGTCTTCATTTCTCTGTAATGGGGTTTGAAGAACGACACCATCCAGTAAATACCTAATGCGCAGATTAGGTTTCATATAATGTTCATATATTACAAAAACTTCTGGTGTTAATATTAAAACTAATGACGGGCTCATTGGACCACTAAGCCAAACAACTATGTATAGCTGCTTATAATGTTATTATACGTGGAGTTCCATTTTAATTCTGTTGTTACATATTATTTAATGATACTTTTTTCAGATTTTTCTTATATGAACTGCTGTGATACAACTGATGTAGATCACACTAATGTTTTATACATGTGGTGATAGTGTTTATTAAATGTATGGTTAATCCCCTTTCCTCCTCATCCTTTTACTTGTTGAAGCCGTGGTGTCATAAAACCGTGAAATAACTAATGTTGACAGTTATGCTCATGGTTAAAATTAATTACTAATATGATACAAACTAAACTGATAGGAAGTAATGCTGTATAGACAGTGACGGGTCAAACTTAAAATCTCATAACCTAAATTCACACTGTTGACGTACGTTGCTAATTGCAATGACGTTCGGTTCTGAAAGTTTCTAAAACTAATATTGGAAATGCTGTACATGAAGGAAATACTAGTAAAATATCTTATCAATTCTACAGAGCTTTCAACCACCAACAAAGAGCTATTAAAAGATGAATAACATTTATAGCAACTTCTTGCTGCTAGACTTTGAATTCAAGAAATTGTATTTTGGGTAGAACAAGTTTTGCCTGGATTAGATAAATTAATTACTTTTTTTCTTAATTTTTCTGAAATTCCTTTTCGAGCCCGAAAAGATACTTACAATATCATTCAACCTTTTTCCGTTTATCTTACAAACAAACAGCAACATAAACACAAAATCTCTGTCGTTTCAAAATTATTTACTATCGATTCATAGACTGGATTGATCCACGTGTTATTTATTTACATAATTTTGATTTATCTGCATTTGTTCAATACTATTTTTTTCTTCCAGTTTTCCAAGTTTATTATGTGACTAGTAGAACGTGTCAGTTTAACAATGTATATAGCTGTGATATTTCACTCAAATAACATTATATGACCACACAAAATCAAATATTTGATTAAGATTGTATGCATTTCCTAAAAACCGGTGTTGTTGCCGTGAGCACTCACCCCGTCTTGATGGATTTTTAATTAGTCGTCCCTGTTTATGCACTTGTTAACAGCAGAACAACTATTAACACCTCTCTTTCAAAAGTTTGAATTAGTTGTTCATGATTTTTCCTTTGTTAACAGAATTCTCGCAACTCGACAAAACATTGAATTTGTAAAGAAAATTTTAGAAAATTATGTAACCTATTTGAAATCAGAATAAAAATGAGCCGTGTTCAAACATGCCTATTGCACGGGCATTCTCTTTAAAATATTAAAATGTAATATTTTTGGTGGCTGAAAACAACATAAACAGTACAGTTGGCTCTTAAAAATACTTTTGATAACTCAGCATTGCTTAAAATTATGATTAGAAAATTTTACAGTAGAAAAACGTTTTATTCAAAATTTTAAGAACACTCAAAGAATGGATGCATAAAGAGTTTTAGTAAGCCTTACACCTATACATATAGCTGGTTTTAGTAAGCCTTACACCTATACATATAGCTGGTTTTAGTAAGCCTTACACCTATACATATAGCTGGTGTTTGTATATTTTTTTCTCTTCCTCTTCTTGATGTTCATAGCTACCGGTTTACAAATACTTAATTCTTGTATATTTTCTTTTTTACCAGGACTTTTAACTATGATTGACTAGTTAAGCCAGACTACAGAGTTGACAAGAAAATCCTAAGCCAGTAATAAATACCTCTTTGGGACTGGGAATGGCTGCCTAGAAATTGGGCAGTTTGGAGAGTTGCAGCTCCTCTCGGGGCAGTCTGTAGTCATGGTTCTCTTCAAAGATAGTGGACCTTACTAGTCCACATTCAACAGCTGAAGTGGCCAGTGAGGACTCTGGTTTGGAGATTGTCACTAGAGTGTTTTGTGTGTTGGAAGATCATCAAGAATTTGAAGTTTCAGCTCGTAGTTTGACTGGCACCTTGTTCCATGGAGTCAAGTGGTAATTTTTGTAAAACAAATTATAGATGTGTATAAAAATTAATGTATTATAGTGCATGTATAGCACCACTGATAAATGTAGATTTGGTAAAATAAGTACAACTTAAAGCACTTAATGTAAAGAAATGTCCCCTAAAGTTGTTATAAAAAAAAAAAAGAGGAGGGGGGGACGTAAGCTCCTAAGTGTATTTTGTAATTTAAAACTTAAAATTATTAGCAGACTAGAAATGGATCTTGGTTAATACAGTCTTATTTTGGATGTCAGAAATTTGTGGTTGTACTGATTTTTATCATTATCATATGGCTCGAATCTAAAACCATCACAACGAGTGATTGTTTTAATTTATATATGAAAACCCTTTTGTTACTATTTGTAGTTTCAGAAAATAGTAATGAAAAATGGTTTATGGAGATTATATACGAAATTTGACTAAATATAGTCAGAGTTCAGTTTTTTTGTTAGAGCATTTTACTCAATTTTTCAGTGACCCTAACCATCTTACATTTTGTGCTATTTGGTCTAGCATAAAGTCACCCGTGATTTCAGCAGGACATCAGTGTTAGAAATTCAAATACCTATTCATTCATGCAAGGATCACATAGATTTACTTGCTCTAACTTTAATGACAACTTTTTAAAGACTAAAAAAAAAAAGCACGGAATCATTTAAGTACATCGTTCCGTTTAGGGCAGAATGCCCAAATTTTCTTCATACTTTTTTGTATGTGTATCTGACTTCTTATCTCTACTTTGTTAAATATCTCCCCTTAACCCACTTGCTACGGGCTCGGTCAATGTGACAGACCTTTTTAACTTGAGTGACCATCAGAGTATTTGTACTCAAGGTATCTGTGAATTGATATATCAGTCTCACAAGTCAGAGTAAAACGTGATATTGATGTGAAGAATAAAGAAAAACTTTTCTCCATTGTACAGTGTGCACAATGCAAACCTCTAAAATATATATCATCAATTTTTTTAATATTCCCGTTTATCGTATCTGGTATTAACTCTACCATGAACTGTCGCTGAAGCAACAATATAAAGTGAATAGTTAATAACCCTAATGTCAAGTACATAATACCTTGTTGAATGGCAATCTGTAAAAGGTTTTGACATGTGCACTTTGATAGGGTTAATAAAAGAAGTTAGGGTTAGCATATTATGCTTACTGTTTATCTTAATTTTCAAATACTTTGTGTTATTGTTTCATTTGTGGAATCTTTTATTAAGAGAACTGTAAGCCACCTAACATCTGTTTTCTAGCAACCAGTTATTAAATGAAACATCCTTGGCGATTATCCAGTGATAGTCCGGCTTCAGTACAGAACTGGCTGGAGAGCAGAGGTACTGATGGTGTTTACAGTAGCTGCATCCTTGGCCTCTTTAAATTGGACAGTTTTGAGTTGGATGGCCCTGAATGTGAAAACAATACCTTGAAACACCAGCAGAACTTGGAACAAGTAAGCTAGTATTTTTGTTGTTATTTTTCAGATTTTTACATGGTTAGCAGCTTAGTCCATTAGCAAATGTATATCTATTATCCCTATATAAATATATATACACAGTAGAATTTTTGAGAGATAGTCACGTGTATTTACTTTCTGTACAATTTATCTTGTATCGGCTAATACTTAGAAACGCAAAGAAACCTAAACAAAAGAATCGCAGAACATAAGTGGATATTAAGAATAGAAATAGTGCTGTTTTCCAACTTATGAAAGGTTTAAACCACCCCTATACAATGAAAATCATCCAAACAAATCTACCAAAGCCAAAACAGAATTATTGAAAGTCGTGCATTCTTTTGTAGTGCAGGTTATTGATTTATTGAACTGTCTTTGGTTAGATTGGAACAGAGAATCAGTATATACTACCAGCAAGTAAAGCTAGACATAAAAGGTTGAAGGGTTGTGAGAGAGGGCTAAGTAAGAAAAATACTGCCGTCTCCACAAGTAATTCCTCAATCAAAATTGAAGACAGGAAGAAAAGTGTTGCAGAAGAATGTTTAAAGTCTGCGTGTGAACAGGTGAGTGTTTCATTTTAAGAAACATAACACTTTCGTATTGTATATTCTTATAAATAACGTAGAGTCAATTTGTAATTCATATGCAATCATAATTATAGCTATCTTGCTTGATAATTTGTTGCAATGAGTATGTTGGTTATTGTTATGCCTTTTTTTGGAGCTAAACATTATTTTATTAAGAATAGTATCACCAACATAAAATAAGGTAATTATGAGATAAGGATCTTTTAGCTGTTCTTAGTATTGGTCATTTCTAACTAAGGTATTAAATTTTTTTTAGTAAGTTTTTCAAATATTGGTTGTAAGAAAGATTAAAGTTGGCTTCGTTATTGAACTAAATTTAAACGATGTTAACACCCGAGAATGATGGAGATTGTCTTAAGAATTTTTAGCACTTGAAAAAGGCGGAGATTGGCTTGAAAATGATGAAACCAATAATGAACAATTTTTAAGATAGCTTTCAATTGATATATACAATTAAAAGTAATTTTGAAAAGAAATATCTACCACTTAAACAGTAAAAAAAATATAAGAAGTGTTGAATCTTATGACAGATGTATGTTAGAAACTTATATAATTAAACATGAGTTTGCTATTACTTTGTACTTGTAAGTGTAACAATATTCATGTTCAGTCACATGGTGTATTTTGTGTTCCCTGAATGTAAACTATTTGATAAGTATGGGTGTTATTGCTTTGTTTTTATGTGAAATAATTTCTTCATTTATTTTTGAAGTTGTTTAATTAAAGTATCAACTTGTGCCATTTGTTAATACCCTTTAGATTCTGTAGTGATTTCAAAATGATTGTGTAGTGTTCTGTGCATATTTGTTTTGTAATAAAATATAGAAACTTTAGTACAAAGAAGACTTGTGGCTTTTGCTATGGTTTATTGTTTGGATTTTTCACTTTTTTTGCAATGTGTGTGATTTTTGTGTGTTGTGTTTTAGAAATCAAGCATAGAGCCTCTGGGAGTCAACGAATCTGCAGGTGAGAATTTAGCTAGCTTTGTCTCAGGTGATTGTGAGTACTTTACTAATTGTAGTGACTTTTTTATATTAAAAACTCCTGAAGTTGGGTGATTAACCCTCCTGCCACGGGTATCCTTTTGTGCTCATGTCATGAGGTTTTAGTGAGTTACATTCAAAATTGAATTCAATTATCTTATCATGGTATACCAACAAATGTAGCCAATTATCCATGTTTTAATAGCTTATAGTTTTAAGTTCTTAGTTTTATAAGGCAATATTTAAAAAAATCCTGAATTTCTCCTAGTATGAGAATTGTGACATAGCGTGAGCTGCACGTTCACCAAGTGATTTTATTTATAGTGTGAATAGTAGTTAGACACGGTTCAAAGGGCAATAAGTATAAAGAGATGTATACTGTTACGAGTTTAAAGCTGCTTAGGATAAACAAATGTAGTTTCATTTTACAATTTGAAGTCATTTTAGAAAGAAAAAAGAGTAGTTTTTGTGGTTACGAGTTTGGTTTAGGGTGTAGAAAATAACGGATTAAGTATAGTTGTATTGAGAAAAAACATTTGAAATCTATTTATGATGTTTTATAGATTACTCAAATGAAATTTGAAATTTTTGAGACTAAAAAATATTTTGAATCTTAACGTAGAAATCACTTTGCACTCAGACATATGAAATAAGTATGTATAGTCATTGACAAATCTTTAGTAAAAATACTGCATTAAAAATATCTGGTTTTTTGTGTACAAAAGACTTGTAATGTTTACTAAAAGTCTGTCAGATTTTGTGAATACACCTACTGTAATAAAAGTTTTGTATGGAAACTATAATTAGTACAAAATGGTTACGAGGTCGGTCGAATCAACCAACCTCATTGTGAGAGAGTTAACTGTATAGTGTTCATAACAATATAAGAAACTATTGTTGAATTGAAGTGGATACAAAAAAAGTACTCTTTCCACTGATCTTACACGTAATGTTTTTAAACAGAAATATTGAACAGTTTAGAAGTGAAGAGGGAAGAAATTATTTGTGAAAGTGAACAGAAACCATCATCCCTTGAAGTTCAAACTCAGTAAGTTCAGCTACTTGAGATTTCTTTATTCATGTGATAGAAAATTGTATTTGTATTTTCTTCTAATGAAACAATTACTGTTTGATCTAAACATTTTATATCAAGTTTGGTCAGTATATTAAAATTAGCTCCAAAAATAGTAGGTGCTTTGTGATTTAGTTTTTGCTTAATAGTATTTTAATAACTTTGTATGTACACAGCTATAGAAACCATGATATTCCTATTTTAGTTGAGATTATACTTGCTATATTTAATGGATTCCATGTTAGTATATGTTTGAAGAACTGCTCTTATAGTTCAAAAGAATCTTTTTGGGTCTGATAATTAATCTAAGTGTTGATAGGGGGGAGATACTGGTAATTGTACTTTTATTTTCAGCTTTAATTTGGGGTAAACTATGGTGTTTTCATATTGCAACATAGGTAAGTTAACCAATAACCAGTTGTTCAGAACAATTTTGAATAGCATGTATAGAAGACCTCTGACCTCTGCTTCGTTTTTCTTTAGGTTCTCTGCAATCTTTTCTTCTCTTAGTGGCAAACCCGAACCACCGACCAAACTGTGCCCTCAGCAAGAGAGAGAAAACTCGTCAAAGTGTGTGGGTAATGACCACAGAATTATTCAACATGATTATCAGACTGCTATTCATAACTTACAACAAAGTATTTTGAATATGGAAGAGGGATACAAGAAGATTAAGAAGCAGGGTGATCGTGCCAGAGATGAAGATAAAGAGAGCCAGTGTCAAAAAATATTTAACAAAGGAAAAGAAATCACTGGCTCCAAAACTGTGAAAGAAGAAGCTAATGTTACTGGTGACTTAGAAACTTGGAAGCCTTCTTTTGTTGTCCCTAAGATGAAGCCTAGTTGTTCTCGTGTACCTTTCACTATTAAACATTCACCTTTTAATGTCCTGTCAAATATTCAAGGAAATCTGTCCCTTCACTTAGAGTCACATGTGGCTTCAGAAACAATGACTAATAACTTGGAGAAGAAGTCCAAAGAGGATGACTGCCAGAAGGTAGCATCTTCAGAAGCTGATGATTTATTTATACTGGAAGATAAAGAAAATATTCAAATGTTAGATTCAGAACAAGTTGACAAGATATTTTTGAGAACTACTCCAAAAACGCTGTCTCATGACCCATTCACCTGGGAACACTGGAAATTTGCGCTTGGACCTGGAGAATTTCTTTCAGAAGAGTCACTAGATGAGAAACTGGTAGATAATCTTGTAAACAAGTTTAATGAGAGCGTTGCAGCTATCTGGGGAAAGACTGACGATCTTCCTTCAAATGAGAACCTGGATTTGAAAACTAATCCACAACAGGTTGAATTTTCACTGAAAATGTTAACCTCGATGTTGACAAACTCCGGTAAGCTTCAGACTCCGAATTACACAGAAAATAAAAATGTGAATCCAGTTCAAGGATATTCTGTTTGGTCTGCTGGATATGATGACTTGAAAACCTTGAGTTTAAACGAATCAAACTTTTCCCCCTTTGCCCTTACTTCTCTTCGTCGTAATCTTGCTGCTGGGATTATTTCTGGCTTCCTTGCGTCTGGAATTGGTCTAGGGAAGACTACCCGTTACTCTGAAGATCATCAGTCACCTGCTTTCTCAGAACACATCCAATACTTGCAGAAAGGTTCTTTTGTTCCGGATGAAGATGAAGTTAATATTCAAGAGGATAACAAAGATTTGGATGACATACTGTCATTTCATCCAGATGCAATTTGTTCAAGCTTAGAAGATGATGATGGAATTTTAATGTCATCCTCCGAGGATGATTCTAGGCAAGAAAGCCCTGTGATAAATTTTGTCGGAAGCAAAGTACATTTATGGAAAGATACACCAGAACATGTCACTGAGCCAGTTGAAAATTCTGATGGTGATTGCTGGCTTCCCTTTCTCTCCACTCACAATACTTTTGGTGTGTTCTGTAACAGTCATAAAGGTGAAAATGAAACTGAAAATAAGTTTTCCTTTGGGAACGTGACAGAGCAGAGTGTGGACTGTAAAAAAAACGATGATTGTCACGAATTACAAGACTTCCGTTACTGCACTACTCTGACATATCACAAAGGAGAGAGTAAGTTTGTGGAAGTTGTTCCCTCATCATACAAAAAGAAAAACCTAGAAGATGATCGGGTGGGAAATTATTATAATGAAGCTTACAGAAGTTTCTCCAAGTATGAAGTTAATGTGGAGGAAGAGGAAAATCTTCTGACATCACCTAGAACCCACTTTCAACCTATAAGAGAAGACTCTTTTGACTCGGAGAATAGTGACGACACGGAAATTGTTACGTTAACCGTAAAACAGGATGAAGAGTCACCGGAGTTTCTTGTTGACCTAACCAGTGTAGACGAGATTCGGGTCAGTCAGTCACCTGGTTCTGGCGACTTTGATAAGCTGGAAAATAATGAAAAGCTCAAAGAGAATGGTCGAACACAGCGTAATAGACGAAGAAAGCGTACGGTTTCTTCCTCCTGTGAAGAACTTGTGTCTTTAACTGGTGCCTTTAATCTTGATGAAACTGGTTCTGGTTCCAGTTCACTCACTGAAGAAGAAGAAGAGAGCCAAGTGTCTGGTTCTTTTTCTAGAACAAATGATTTGTATGAAGATAAGGGAACAAATACAGAGACTGGCAATTACTATGGATTATGGGAAGATGAAAAACTCCAGGATGATGGCGATTACTCTCTGGCATCGGGTGGTAATTCATTGTTTAATGTCTATGAAGAAGAGCAGTGGAATTTCACTGATGTGCCTTGGAAATGGAGTACCAATGACCACGAGAAGACCACCTGGATATTCGAGATCACTGAAGCCCCGCACGATTCAAAGGTGCTTCCTGTCTCGGACAAAGACGTGGTATCTGAGAAAACAGACTTGAGCTTGCTACGCGAAGAAATAGAAGCAGAAGAAGAGGAACTTCTAAGAGATATTACTCGTGTGAAAGACAGATGGGAGGATGTGATTGAATTGAAAGAACAAAATGATTTCCAAGATTATTCATCGGTTGGAGGTTTAGAGAATAAGACAAATGAGATTTGCTGCGAAGAAGATTGTGCGTCGGTTTACACACCTTTTGATGGATTTTATAGCAACTTGGGTGAAAACTACCAGGATCTTGCACAGTACTGGGACATGGGGAATATGGATTACAAAACTAAAGAATTGAATGCAATGGATCTACAGGTAAGTGTGGTACACAAAGAAGAATGTAGTGAGTGTAATAAATTTTTAAATAAGCTATCATATTTACTGAATATAATAGTAATTGATTTCTTTTTTTTCCAACGGGTAGTGTTGATGTTGAACGTTTCATATTTAGTAAGAATCAGAAAAATATTTTGTTTAAAAAAAGAAATTGCATCTAAAGTACTAGAAATGTCGAGTTCGTAAAATTAAAGGTATTTGCTAATTCCCCTGAATTTTTATGTCGAAACTGAAACACTCGGGTGTCGTATAGTTTACGGGTTCAGTTTTAAGAACCAATAGTGTTTGTATATAAAACTAATAACAAAAGATTTTGAACTTTATATGCCAATATTTATCTGCAATACTATAAATATTGTGTACATTTTTAAAAACTACTGT